TTGTTTGTAAGAACTTGTTTAGTCATTTTTGCTTTTTTTCCCCTTTTCCTTATTTTTATTTCTCTTTTCTTGTCTCTCCCATTCATTTCTGCTTTTTTTCCTAGTCTTTCTTGTACTTTTTTGCTTCGCTCTGTCATTCTCCAATGTTTTCTCTCCCTGTTGCCCCTTTTTCTCCCTCTCTCTCGGGCAAGCGAGTCTCCATGTGACATTCCTCACATTCCCAGCATTCCACATCTATCACTTCTTATTTCTCTCTCTCTCCCTCTCTCTCTCTCTCTCTCTCTCTCTCTCTTCAGTTAATACAGGTGTTTGTTGTTTTGTTGTCATCTAAAGTGTTCAGTATAGGTGTGCACGGGTCTGGTGTGTCTTGGAAATGCGCTGTGGTCCAATCACTCCGCCCACTTTTCGGCGTGGTCAGGGATGCATATGACCACATAACTTCGATTATAAAAGCGTCCCACAGCATCCCCAGCAGAGCTTCTTTAGGGCTGGAACCGCTTAGCCATTTTTCCATTATCCATTATTCAAAGCTAGGGGTGGGAATCACAGAGCATCTCACGATACGATATTATCACGATACATTGCCCACGATACTGATATCACGATACTGTGATTCTGTGATACTCGATATATTATTGCAAGACAATCCACTAAGATACATCAAAATATCTGTTTAACTGAAGAAAATAAAATACTCCTAAATAGGCAAATAGCAGGAGTTATGTATTTATTATTGTCAGTTTCACATAATTTGACAACAAATATGATGCAGTGAACAAAAGTGCATCGATTAGCTTTATGCCTCTTTAACACACATGACATTACAATGACTGCATGTGTCATCATTCCAATGTAAAATAGCCATAACCCGCCTGAAAGCAGAACAGTTCTGGGGTTAAAAAGTCTAAAGGTAGAACACAACCATGCCTCACTAAAATCTATAAAACTATAAAATAAACCCAGTAAAAGACTTAGTACTACTGGTAGCCCTTGGGGATGTAAAAGGAAGTTTTGCTTTAAAAACTGTATTAACTGCAGACTGACTTCGATTTGGCTATGTTAGCTGTTTTCTCAACAGCCAAACCAGGACGATGACGAAGAAGGTGTCTATGCATGTTCGTTGTGTTGCCTGTCTACTTTATTTTAACGAGACAGTTCTTGAAAATCGAAATTCTTTGTCTATTTCATTTGTCCCTTCAATGCTGTAAAAGCTGAATTGGGCCCAGACCTTTGGCTTGAAAGAGGACGGTGCCTGTCTGAGTTGTTTCCCCCCGTTGTCCGCCATTTCTCCTCTGTGAGTTTCTTTTTCTTCACCGCAGGTTTGCCCTATTAATTTGATTAGTGCCTTAGCGCCACCATGTGGAGTCATGAAGGAGTGAATCTGGTAGATCAGATTGGAGGGGGCGTCTGTTTAGAGCATTTACAGTGTGTGCATGTTTCAGTGAATAAATCGATGTTCGGCACCAGTGTGTTGATAACGTATCGCAAAAGAAAAAGCTTTACAATATATTGCTGTATCGATCCCAGCCCTATTTAAAGCTCTGTTCCTCTGCAGCATGACGTCATCAGATTTTGTAATTTTTGTGCGTAAGAATGTGTTTAGACATCGTGAAGTCTTTTCATGAGACTATTTTTACAGATTTGATGTGCTAAAAACTTCACATCAAGTCCAATGCGCTCTTTTCTAACACTGAGATTGCAGGAAGTAGATGCAGAGCAAGAAGAAATTAATTCATTCCGTGTAAACGGTCCCAAAGTCCTCGTTTTTCTTTTAGCCAGTGAGACTCAACAAACAGCAGAAGAGTTCCACCTGCTCACAGAAGCTGAAGCTCTAGGTTCAGCTCAAGGCTCTGGATCTCTGAGCACTGAGATGAGCGAACAAACTACAGGAGCAAAACATGAACATTTGGGCCCACCGCTGGGCCCAAAGTTTTGTCACACACTTCCCTAACCTAATAATAGCTCAGCCAGTTTGCATTGAAGTCCCTGTAGTTGCTGAATCATAAGCCTTAGTATGTGATAAACGGGCTATGAGATTTTAAGGGCTTAAAGCTAAGTTATTAATTGAGATAGCAGTAAGCTGAATATATAGAAAATCATCATTTATGTGGTACTTTCTGTTGGGAGGGGTCTGTCCCAAAACCTTAACCCCTGAATTTACACTTATAATAAATTCTTGATTTTTTAACAAACATTTTTACCATGAGTTAAATTTTCAAATTTACATTTACATTTACAGCATTTAGCAGATGCTCTTATCCAGAGCGACTTACAAAAAGTGCTTTGTCTATCCAGAGAAAGTGTCTTTGCTGGTTACCAATAGGTTAGAGAGAAAGCCAGTCCTGAGCTCAGATACTGCTAGAGTCACAAAGTCATTATGGACACCTAGAGAAAAAGGAACAGAGTTAAACACAGAGCAGTGCAATACAATACGATACATAAGTGCAGTACAATACATTACAATCAATACTTAATTCAGTGCTCGTTTAATAAAATTCAAATAAAACAACATTCAAAAAATGTTTTTGTGTTTTAATGAAAAATGTTGTGATTTTATTTGTGTACAGCTGTTCAAAGTTGTGTTTGCTAGTCGTGTAATGGGCAGTGTTTTTGGCAAAATGAGTTAAAGTTTTGGTCACTACTGAAACATTTGCTAAAGTTTTGGTATGTTTTAGTAGTGACAAAGAAAATTTGTCTTAGATGTAGGGTCACTCAAAGCGCTGTAAAAGGATTGTAAAAGTCCGAAATGCGTTTTCAACTCTGACTTTCTCCAGTAGAATAATCTAAGTATACAATATTGGACCTAAATGGGCGACGAGGCACTTTCTCGTAGGAATAATTCAGCAAAACCAGTTAGAACGAGATGCTAGCATCCATTCATCGTTAGTTGCGTTAGCATCTTTGGCTGAACTGTCCCAGATATGTTGACGAGACTGCGATCGTGATGTTTTTGACCACCCCCCCCCATCGGACATTCACCCTGGCCCTCTCTGTGTCCTCTGAATGTGGTTCAGAAATGAAAGGGAATTGAAGAAGCCGATAAATATACGTCCTACAAGACTCTTCAGCCTCTCTCTCTTTCTTTCTCTTTGACATTCATTTCACAGGGAAGCCAACAAACAGCAGCCAGATGAAATATTTCCAGCCACTGGCCTCGAAAAGTGATAATATCCTTCACCCAGCCAGCTCACAACATCCACATCCCCTTCTTTATATATATATATATATATATTTTTTTTATTTATTATTTTTTTTTTTTCTGAGCGAACCCGCGTCTGAAGAAAAGTGAGTGTGAGAGGAATATATAAGGCGTGGGTGTGTCTTTTGTGTTATCTGCGTCGCGAGTGTGTGTGCGCGCCTTTTGTGCGATTGGGTTATGGAGGTGGAAGTGTGTAACCCCTCTTAACCCGCGGGAATGATGTCACGGGCGCACAAATAAACTCCATTACATACGTTCAAATAAGCTCCGCCGCGGCCACAGAAAGGTTGGAGCGCATTCATGAAGGGGTGATGGAGAAAGAGAGAGGGAGAACGAGGGGTCGGGAATGAGAATAAGATGGGGGAGATGGAGAGAGAATGGAAAAAGACAGAGAGAGGGAGAAAAAGAGAGAGAGCGCTAGCGTCAGCGCTAATCCTGTGGTGTTATCTCCAGGCTGTAGTGGAGGAAGCTGAGGCAGAAGTGTTCAGACTAGAGCCTCTCATGAGGAAGAACATGAAAGACAAACTGTTAACATTTGTTTTCCTCTCTCTGTCTCTCTCTCTCTCTAGTATATACACAATGCCATCATTGTCATATCCAGCTATGTTCTCTCCCTTCATTTTATTGTACGTGCTGGCCCATATTCCAACTCCAAATATAGTTGATCTAGCTTCTCATTTTTGCTGTAGTTTTGCTTTTCATCCCCTTAAATGACAGGCTTATTAATCAGTTATTAATAAGGCAATAAGCCATGAGAGGCTGTGTGTTACTGTGATTTTATCACAGAGAAGGGTATTCTTAGGCACGACAGGAAGTGGAGTAAAACTCCCTCCCTGTGGTAAAATCACTGTAATGCATGGCCTCCACGGTGTCCAACATAAAACATAATAAAATACACCATTTTTTTAGAAATTAATTTATTATTATTTATAATAATCGACATAAACAAGTATTCCGCCAAGAAATGTAGTTCCTTTAGAGTTTAATATTGTTGCCAACCAACCATGGACCGCTGAATGCGGAGAACGTTTGGTCACCCATCGCTGTATTCTGCGGTCATTTCATTAAATTTGAAACTTTTTGTTGTTTAATAATGAACATATAATAATGCACTGTTTAAGGCAAAAACCTCTCTTTATAAGTACTTTTTGGTCGCCAAATTACCACAGCGGATCTTATTTAGCACCAATCCAGTGGCGTCCCTCTTCTCACACTGGGGCTGAATCTCAAACAGCTCCATGCTCCCTACATAGTGCACTACATAGGAATTTAAATACTGGATCCTGCAGCCCAACAGTGCAAAATATAGCTAAGAAATAGTTGTCTGGGACTCAGACACATCCATACTCAATAAGCGATGCACTGTAGATTTGGCTGTAGAGGCTAGAATTTCTACGCTTTAATAGCTAGAACACTATTTAAGGAGTATGGGGCCGTTTGGGATTCAGCCTAGGTTTGACGTGACTTCTGACTGAAACACGGACATTTGAAGTGTGTAAGACATTCAAGTGACGTTTTTAGTTTTTTATACTGCCGTTTACAGTTAATCATATTGTACGTGCTTTAATTCAAGCCTGTGATATTAATGATGGAGTTGTTTAGGCTGTTGGCTCTTTTAGCCTGTTAGCTAGCTGACCCGCCTAGTTCTGGTTAAGAACATAAGTCTCCAGTCCCTCAGTTTAAACAAAAACAGGTTCTTTCTTCATCAGTGGTCCATATGAGCAGCATGAGACTCAAAGATTATTCCATTAACAGCACAAGGGTTTTACATGCCGTGGTGAAGTGATACACAATTCAGCTGAGGCGGTCATAGGTGTGCGTATATTGTGGACTTTACAGTGGGTTCAAACGCAGCTCAGCCAATCAGATTTTAGGACCAAAACTGTTTTATAAGGTTTATTATGTAGTAATTGCTACACTCAAATAAAAATATGTACTTTAATTCATTTTCATTTATTTTATGTAAACCAGTTACTTTAAAACAACAAAATGAATTTATTTACTATCAACTTATGTTCAGTTTGAAGGTCAAACGACCAGGTCGGTTATTAGTTTTGAGTGTACTATTCAGTATCTACTATGAATGAATGAATTAATTAACTACTATTAACTATGTTACTTAGTATCTACTATGAATTATTCAGTATCTGCTATGAATGATCTACTATTAACTAACTGTGTGCGTGTGTGTGTGTGTGTGTGTGTGTGTGTATGTATTTCTTTCGCAGGGATGAAGATATGCAGAGTCTGGCCAGTTTGATGAGTATGAAGCAGGCAGACATTGGCAACCTAGATGACTTTGAGGAGGACAACGAGGAAGACGAAGAGAACCGGGTCAACCAGGAGGAGAAAGCAGCCAAGATTACAGGTGATAATAACAATAGCTTTGATGATGAATTAAGAAAAAAAATAATCATGCTTAAAGCTTTTGGTAGCGTCCAAATGAGAATCAGACTTCACCGCCTAAGTGTATTTTCACATACAAGGAATTTATCTGTGGTTACACAGCAGCTCATCATAAACTGTAGCAGATAATAGAAATTTTACACTTGGTCACTCTAGTGGACACATTCCTGTAAACGTTCCCACAGTCACACAGTCAAACATTCAGTGGTGCTCTAATATGTTGAGCTTCAAGCACTTAGTAATTTGCACTTGCACAATATAGGGTTTGATATTGATTTTTCTGATCGATGTAATTGCAATTTAAATGTGATTATTTTCTATAAATTAAGCTGTTTTTGCAAGAAAAACACCTCCGTTTTTGTCAGGCTCAAGGCTTAAACACTGAATGTAGTACGCCAGACTGTCAGTTCAAGAGCTCTGTGTTATCTTAGCAACACCTGGGTTACCGTGGTAACAGCCTAGCAGCACCTTAGCAACCATCTGGGATTCCAAGACAACTTAAAATTTTTTCGCAAATTTGTTTCACCTTCTAGCTAAAATTGCAACTCATTCATTTAGAAAATTGAAGGTCTGTGCCGAATAACTTGAACGCTCGACCACATTGGTATTATTTCTACATGTAGTATTTAGTAGATTTGTCTGATTTAAGTTCATTTGCGCTGTCACTTGTATACACTATTATACACTGTTATGCATAGTCGCCACCTGCTAGATATGTTATTAACTGCACTCCCCAACACAATTAAATTTATGGTTATGTATTTATTTATTTATTTAAATAAATTTCCCTCTTACTAAGGTCTGTAAGCCAAAACAATTTCATTTCTGTACTTTTGCGCTGGAGCTGCAGGGCTAGGCTAAAGTAGCTAACGGGTAATAAAGGTTATACTCCACCAATTAGCACTTTGCAAACTGCATTCCCTTATCACTTATCTCTAATTGACATGCTTATATGGTTTTTCATGCTGTATGACGATCTGTCATCTTACAGCAAACTTACAGCACATAAACCACATAATCAGGTCTGTTAGATGTTTTAATACTGTTTTAGGTTTTATATGCATTACTGGTTGTATAAAGTGTTTGTTTTTGTTTAAGATGTTTTGTTTCATGAGGCTGATTTGAAGGTTTGTTGAACTTTTGTTCTTTTAAGTAACACTACAGGTGGGTGTGTGTATTTATGATTAATTCATTAATGTTAATTTGATGATGTAGATGAGCAGATGTTTTCTGTTTCTGCCCTGCTTTTTCTTCAATTTTTGGCTTTACTTCTCTTTATCTTGCTGTTTGTGAAGATTGTGCATTTGTTTGTCTAGGGTGTGTGTGTGTGTGTGTGTGTGTGTGTGTGTGTGTGTGTGTGTGTGTGTGTGTGTGTCCGTCTCTCTGCATGTGTGAGATGCCTTACTTGGCATAATCCGCCCCCTCCGTACTCATGGATCCTTGACATTAAGCCCCCGTATACCAGGCTGTGTGGATATACGCTTCCATATGTGTCTATAGGAATGGTTGAGTTGTTTATTCATTATATCTCCGTTGATGGTCTGTCTGTCTCCATAGCAATGCTATCAAGACGTTTGATTCAGATTAGTGTAGCACTGAGAAAACCCAGAGCCGCTTTTATTTTGTCCTCTTGTTGTGTTGTAGATACAATAAGTAATACATTATTACACGTTGATTAAATATTTATTCTAGAGCCCGATCATTATATTTCCTGACCAGTAATATAAGCTGATAGAGATGACCCACAGTTTTATCAGTGTTGTGATGATAACTACCGACTTCTGTGGTTACAGCATTGCTGCGATTCAAGCTTGCGATTGTGATCAAAAGCCTAAAATGTGTTGAAACATAATCATGAGAATAACAAAAATACAAAAAAGTAGTTTTTATCAAGGCAAGGTTAAAGAAGACAAGAGTTAAATAAAAAAAACAAGAGTTAATAAACAAATACCAAAACCACAAAGAATTATGGGTAGCTGGTCTGGGTAATAGGGCAATGTAATTCACAGTTAAGTTAATGTTCATGCTTCAGAAGTGATCATTACAGTCGTTTCTGGAAGAGAACTAGAGGACTAATTTTAACCAGCTTGCTAAATAATATTAAATAATATGTACGTTGTTTTTTTCCTATTAGAACAATGTGTTATTGCAGAGCATTACTTTGCAGTAGATGATAATATAATACTTTTATTGTTTCCCATTTCACAGAAATCCTGAAGGGCTCTATACTATTATATATAAAGCAAATGAACTTCTGCTTCGGAGCTGTCTCATTTTCTCGAGTGTGTAGCAGTCTGAAATTTCTCCAGCAGGGGAGATTGGTTTTCTGTGGGAGCAGGATGAAATCTTGCAGGAGCGTGACTGAAAATAGTTCCACGCAGACCTCTAATGCAGAGGAGGGAGAAATGGATTCATTTAGTATTAAAGATCACAAAGTTGTCATTTTTCTGTTAGTCAATGCATCTTGCATGTTCACGTTAATATTTACATGCATATTTTTTGCTTTGTTTTAATTTTTGTTGTATTTTTAACCCAAATCATTATTTGAGATAGCAGTAAGCTAAATATATATATATATCATCATTTATGTGGTACTTTCTATTTGGAGGTGTCACATAATTTTGTGTGTGTCATTTAAAGAGAAGAACCTACCATGAACCCACACCAGCAGGAGTCCGCAGATGTGCAGGTTTGCAGTTATGTAGATATTGTGATATAAACTGAGTCTGTTCTGCAGTTTCTCGTTAGGTTAAATGAAAAACAGACTCTAAATGTAGGTATTGTGATATAAACTGAGTCTGTACTACAGTTTCTCATTAGGTTTAATGGGATTTTTACCAGCGTTCTCTAAAGCTTGTCCAACCTCACAACAGTAACTATGAAAATTGATAACTGAAACTCTGATTTTGTTTGCTTGTTTTTGTTTTTGGAATATTGTACGTTGTGTGTATGTGTGTGCAGATGTGTATGTGTGTGTGTGTGTGTGTGTGTGTGTGTGTAAGTGAGTTATTGATCAGTGTGTGATGTCCTGGCCACTCTGTTTGCAGAGATAGTGAGGCAGTTAAATGCGCTCAGCAGTGTAGATGGAGATGAAGACGACCCAAAGCTCAAACCAGCCTGTTCTCCTGCAGGTTTCTCTCTTCTACTAACACTATACTGTCACTCACCCTCTCACTCACTGTCACTCATTCACTCCTCTCTCACTCTGTCACGCTCCTTTTTCTTCTTTCTCTCTTTTGTGTCTTTCTCTACCTCACCTCTGCCTGCCTGCCTGCCTCTCATACTCCCTCTCACTCACAATCTGGTCTCTCCTTTCTGCCTCTTTCTTTCTCTTTCTTTTCTGTCTTTTTGTCTGTCTTTCTTGCTATCTCTCTGTCTCTAACTCATTTCTCTTTCTCATTCCTACTCTTTCACCCCCCTTTCGCTCCCCCTCTTTCTCTCTCTATTTCTCTCTCATACTTGTCTTCTGCCTTGATATTTACCATCCCCTTGTACTATGTTGTGTCTGTGTTGTGTGTGTTGTGTCTGACTCATGTCTGACTCCATTCAGTGCCATGTGAAGTGATTTTGGGTTTGTGTTCCTTTGTTTATCCTTCGTTTTTTCTATCCTTTGTTGTGGTCTTTGGTTTCAGCTTCATTTTCTGCAGTTTGTAGTGAACCAGGCCTCCACAGATACACACACACTGACCCACCACACTGACACCGACTCCTTCTCTTGGTGATAATTTCAAAAAATTATGATGATATTTTCCAAATGTGTAATCAGTACTGAGTGAAACACTATAACAAGCTCAAGCATCCTCAGTGCTGCTCCTGTAAACTGGAAGAATGTCTGATATTTGCTCGTTCTTCTCTTAAAATTACGCCAAAGGAAACCTTATGCAGTCTAGTAATTGCAAATCTGAAAGCACACTTCCAGAAAGAAAACATATGTTTAAGATTTCTATGGATTTTAAATTGCTTTTTTCAAAATAATCCGCAGCACCCAGGAAATATACATTACAGTTTACTGTCAGGTTCTAGAGGCCATGTGTAAAGTACACAAAATAAAAATTAGAAACTCAAAACTAGGTACTCGGCAACAAGGAAACTTTTTTATTGAGATTATATCATGCACATGTGAACATTATCTATTAAATTCAGTGAGGTCTAAAAGGTCTGAGGTTACATCGAAAATGTGGGATTTTTTATTTAAACAAGTTTTAGAATTTTCAAAAATTTAAAACAACAGAATCAGCATTCTGCACTGTATGTAGTTCACTGTTGAGATTTTGTATTAAATTAGAAGTGACTGGAGAATAGATGTATTTTCACTGGTGGCCTCAAAACTTTGGACCTAGCTAAAAAAAAAATACTAAAAATGAAAGACAATGAAAAGGTATTCTGATATAGATGATATATTTCCCACTAAATTCAAATACATTGCTGCTGTTCTTAATTCCAAGTTAAAAACAAATGAGAAATGAGATTCGACTTTAGCTATTATTCATAATTGCGCTTTCATTTCATATAGACTGTGGTATTTTATGTTTTATTTATGTTCTTGTGTGGGATTTTGTGACTAAAATGTGAAGTGTGATATATAAATAAAGACTTTTTTTATATCTTTAAAACACTTATTGTGTAAAGTTGGGAAATGGGGATAAGGTCCATCAATCAGATGATTCTGTGCTGCTCCAGTCAGACAGAGCCAATTGGGTTCTTTATTTTGATATATTCTATATATAGTTATACATACTACTCAAATCTGTCCATATCCGCATACATCAGTGCTGAAGAGCGGTTCACTCCAGAGTGCAGTGTTTATCTATGGTTTAGTGCTGTGGCTTCATACTTTGTTTTTTGTACATATATTATTTAAAAACAAAATATATATATTTTTTTAAATATATTTTTTGTGTTTCTATCACTTGTAATCTGTACATCTGTTCAATGTTGTATTACCTTCTACATTCTTTAAAAACATGGTTATTCAAGGGTTGTTTAGTAAAGACAGTAGTTCTATGTAGAACCATGAACACTCAAAGAACCATTTGCATGCCTAAGTGTTTTTTTGCATTGTGAAATGGTTCTTCAGATTGATGAACAATGAGTTGTTTATAAAAACTTCTTAAAGAAGGGTTCTGCTGTTGTTACAATGTCAAGTTTGTGACAACAGAAGAAACATGTTTGGTGCTATGTAGAACCAAATACAACACATTTTCTATCAATCTGAGGAATATTTCACCATGTAAAGAACCACTTAAGCAAGGTTCTTTGAGTGTCCATGGTTCTATATACATCTCTTGTCTGTACTAAAGAACCCTTGAAGAATCATCTTTTTAAAGAGTGTAGTTAAAGGAATGCAGTAACATTGTTTCCTCTGTGTGTGTGTGTGTGTGTGTGTGTGTGTGTGTGTGTGTGTGTGTCTGGTCCAGAGTTGATCAGTAAACTAAATTTTCTGGAGGAGGATGAGCAGGTTCAGACCCACTCCAGCTCGAACCCCTTCGAGGAGGCCGATGACCCTCTGGCTCTGAACCCGTTCGATGACCCTGACGAGGAAGGTAAGCAGTGACCTTTGACCGCCTGAACTGAGCACAGGATGGCTTTCTGACCTCGTTAGGGTTTAATGAACGAATTAACCTACATAAAAAGACAGAGAGGAATGTTTGGAATTAAGTAGGATTTACATTTTTGATTTTTGGCTGTATAAGGAGGCTGTTTGTGTGTGTAAAGATGTGGCTTACATACACAACCACACACACTTGTTTTTCTACCTATATCTAAGTGCAGGTGCTGGACAATGTATTTAAAGTTCATTACATTTTCAGTACTGCACCTGAGCTTACAATTCAATACTTTCAATGCTTTCTGTGCTTTTATTTAGATATTTAAATAAGCTAGCACCATGTTCACACTGTAGTTTGCTTGAAAGAGATTGAATAACCAAAAAACTCAGACATGTTAATCAAGAAAAAACAAGAGCATTTCTGTGTTTAATCCGATAAACATTATTGGGTTTTTGCCGTAGTATCGTTTGGGTTCAAACACTGTGATACTACATTTAATATCTGAATCGAAATTAAAATTCTGTTATAGTGACAACTCTATTAGATACATTTATGCATATCTCTATATAAAATATCTTGTCAGGAAAGACGAGGCAAATTTATTTGTATAGAACCTTTCATGCACTGTGATCATTCAAAGTGCTTTACAAAGGATAAAAATACAAAAATAATTCGTTACAATTTAAAAAGTAACATAAAGGATAATAGAAATTAAAGCATAATTAAAACAATAGTTTAAAAGAGAAGAAATTAATTGTAAAATTAAAATCAAATTACAAATGAAAACAAAACCTTATATCTTGATTTTTTAAAAAATAATTTCAAAATGCCATGTAGTACCTTTACATAATGTCCTTATTATTATGATGTAAATGTCAGTACCAACGTGCAGTTTGCCTCATATATACTGTAAGCGTGTGTAAATATCTGTATGTAATATGTCCCATATGTATTATATATATCGCTGCTGTTGGAACAAAACCTTGTATCTCCAAAATGATAACTTCACAGGAGAAGGACAAAACCTGCTTTACTTTTAATATAAATCAATGGAACCAGACTTTTTTCCCCCCCCAAGTCATTTTGGGATGTTTATTTTGGTCCATTCTTCATGAAATGGACACACAATGTAAAGGACAACAGGAATCTTTAAATTATGTCAAAAACTGAAAAACAACAAAAAATGGTGATATGGGGTTTTCATCCGACGGCAGCGATATATATATATATATATATATATATATATATACACACACACAAGCATATACATATATAGATGCTGATCCCCAAACCTACGCAGAAACCCTAAACCTAACCTTAACCCCAGGAACCAAAAAGAAATGGTTGTGCTCTTTCAGTTAAAATGAAAAAAAAACAAAAAAAACTTTTAACTATTGTGAAATACACTTCGCAAAGTCAGAAACATTTTGCTGCCCATGGCAACCCATACCCCTGTTTTTGTCTTGTTTTCCTATGAAGTCATTACATTTTTACCCTGAAAATATACAAAAAACAGAAAAAGCACTGAATTTCATCAGACAGACTAAGCCACTGTCGAGTTCTGCCTGATAGTGACTCTGACCCTTCTGGTTCTTTTGGTTGCTTTTAGAAGTGCAGCCCTCCCTGCAGTCCACTCTAAAAGACGAGGAATCCTCAAACCCATTCAATCCATTTGATGAGCCTGAACCAGAGCAAGACCAAGACCAGGACCAGGACCCTCAGTATAAAAACCCATTTGATGAGCCAGAGCCTCAAGTGGAGAGCACGCCCCCTAGAGGCAGTGCGAGGAAGATAGTGCGACCGGTGGACATGAGCAAATATCTGTACGCAGATAACAGCAAGACAGAAGAAGAGGAGCTGGATAAGTGAGTAATAGAAGAGTGCAGGGTGGGAGGGCTCTGGAGTGTTATTGAGAGTGAGGGTGTGTAGTGTAAATACACAAAGCTGCCAAGTTCATTAGTAGCCCTATCTGGTACTTTCATTGGCCATTTTATCAGAAACACCTGCCATAAAGGTGCACTTTGTAGGTTTAAAACATATTATATTATATAAAACATTAATATAAATATTATATAAAAACAGTTATATACTGTTTTATCAGTCTCTTTAACACATCCTCTACAGAGAACACACTTCTGCACATTTAAAGGCACAATTACGGTTTATTTGATGAAAACAAAAAAACACAGTATATTTTCTTTTATATGAAACTGGCATATTAAAGAATGTTCTCTGTAGAGGACGTGTTAATTCATTTTTACTTCAACAAGACGTACTCTGTGTGTGAACTGCTGAATAAACAGAAAGCACTTATTAGTAAATTCTGTTGGAACTGCATTAAGTTGAAAATGGTATGAAAACACAAGTTAAATGTTTGATTTTGTGAACTCTTATTGTTTTTTGTAAATATGCACTCATTCCAAATGCCTATAGCATGTTTCAAAAAGTTATCACAGGAGCATGTTTACCATTGTGTCACATCACCTTTTCTTTTAACCACACAAAATAATTCTTTGGGGACAGAAGACACCAATTGATACAGTTTTGAAAGGATTATTTTTGCCACTTTTCTGTTATACAAGTCTTCAGCTGTGCAACCGTACACAACCTTTTGTTGTCATATTTTGAGCGTGATAAGACACTTTTAGTGGGAGAGAGAAGGCTGGACTGCAAGCAGTCCAGTCTTGCACCTTCACTTTCTTGATAGACAACCATGCCGTTTTAACATGCAGTATGTGGCCTGGAGTTGAAATAAACATGATTGTCCCTGAAAAAGACGGCATCTAGAAGGCATCGTGTTGCTCCAAAATGCATTAATGGTGCTGATTACCCATTAATACCCCCCATACCATTACAGAGCCTGGATTTTGAATGTTATACTGGTAACAGTTACAATTCTTTGGCCTGGAAAGCACAATGTCCATTATTTTATAAACAATATGAAAGGTTGACTTGTGAGACGACATTACACTTTTCCACTGAGCATTAGTCCTTTTCAGATGAGCTCAAGCCCAGAGAATTTGGTGGCGTTTCTGGACGTCATTGATATATGACTTCCACTGTGCATAGTGCAGTCTTACCTTGCGTTTGAGGGACAGTGTTTATTGACAACAGTTTGTCAAAGTATTGTTGAGCCCATGTGGTGATGTCCATCACAGAAGTAGGCCGGTTTTTAATGCAGTGCTGTCTGAGTGGTTGATGGTCACAGAGGAGGGGGGCAAGATGGGGCATTTGCCCCTGCTAAAATGTTTGTCAGCTCATTTTAATTATGGAATATTGTCATTTGTCAAAACTATCTACTATGTATAGAGACTGATTTCCACGTCACTGGGTTGACTTGTGCGCTCAAAACAGCAACCAAGGTCCGCAGTGTCCATAGAAGAGGTCAGGTGTTGTTTCAGATTGAGTTCCTCCTCAGATTTATGTTCCTCTTCACAGATCAAGCCTGGCATTTGTTTGTTATCGCTGTGGATTTCCCAAAGAGCAGAAGAACGCAGAGCTGTCCCTCTTCAATGCTATTCCATCAGAAGAAATCGACTTTGATCAACGATTAGCCCTTTTTAAAGCGTCAGATCTAGTTGTTCGATTTAAAACTTGCGTGAGTCAGAACAGACTGTCTGACATTGCAGTGCTGAATATTGAATGGGCTATTCATGTGCACTTAAACAGTCAGTGCACCTATTATGCACTGTAGATGGTGAAATACCTCAAATCTGCAATCGCTTGCTGAGGAACTTTGTTTTAAACTGATGGATTTTTTGCTGATGCTTTTTTTGCAAAGTGGAGAGCCTCAACTCATCCTTGTTCATAAAGGACTCTGCTTTGCCTGGATGCTCCTGTTACACTCAAGTATAATTGCATCACCTATTAAAGATGTTTTTATCATTTCACAACGTTCCTGGTCTTCAATTGCCCTGTTCCACCTTTTTTGAGCTTTTTGCAGGCTTTGGTTTCAGAATGAGTGCATATTTTACAAAAAAAAAAATGAAGTTTGTAGAAAATCTTTGATCTTGCCATGGAAGAGATTCAGGAGGCCGGGGTTTGCTGAAATAATGATGGTTTTATTGAAAAAGAGAACGCTCAGCAAATATTTTTCAAAAAAACAATAAAATTTCTCAGTTTCAACATTCAATATGTTGTCTTTGTACAATTTTAAACTAAGTATAGAGTTTAAATGATTTGCACATCATTGCATTTTGTTTTTATTTACATTTTGCACAGCGTCCCGACTTTTTTGGAAATGACAATTCTTTTTGGCAATTCCCAACAAGTTGATGAGATAAATCATTACACACCTTGTCTTTGTAGTATTTTCATTCAAATTAAGGTCAGAGTAGAAATAGAAATAAGGGTTTTCTGTTTTTATTTGCGGTGTACCTACTGTCCCAGCTTTGGAATTGGGTTTGTGCATATATGCGTATATATGAGTGATAGAGCGAGAGCAAGAGAGGGAAAGCAGTGAGTAAGGTGTTTCAGCAGAAACAAGGCCGCTGTTGTTCCTTGCATTCTTTCACCTTGTCTGTACATCTCTCTCTTTCTCTCTCTCCCTCCTAAATGCTCTCTTTTCTGTTCCCTCTCCCTCCCCCTCCCTCTGTTCCTCAGACTGCTGAGTTTGTCAGATCTGCCATTAAAACCCAGACTGACCCAGAGTCTTTTCTCCAACCTTATTTTTTTTTCTATTACTCATATGACCTCACATTTCTGCTCTCCTCCATTCCTCTCTTCCTTCCTGTCTCTCCTCCTCTTCTGTTCTCTCTCTCCTCTCGTCAGTGTGTTTTGACTGCGCTTTTCACACACGTTTGACACACATTCAATTAGGGACAAGGGAGACCTCTTTAGCAGCATCTCTCTCTCTCTCTCTCTCTCTCTCTCTCTCTCACTCTCTCTCTCTCTCTCTCTCTCTGAATAGGAGGCCTGCTTTCTTTCCATTGTATATGTGTGTGTTGAGTGACTGCTCCGTACTCAGCATTGTGTGTGTGTGTTGATGCCAGCGGAGCATGTGTGTCTGTCACTGAGTGCATTGCTGGGGTCGGAGGTCAGAGGTCATGAGGTGTGACCCCTGGAGCACCTGGCTTCTCTAGAGCTCAGTGGAGCGTTTTATTGGCTCACGCTGATCCTGATGCTCCTTTACCTTTACCCTGAAAAACCAGTCACTCGCTCGCTCACTCACTCCACACAGAGAGAGAGAGAGAGAGAGAGAGAGTGAGTGAGGGTGCTGAATGGAGAGCTGTTGTGTTTCACTTTTCCGAGCTCTGCCTCGTTTCCTCCTCAGCCTCACTTCTCTGAATCTTCTGTGAAGTCATGTGACTCTTCTTCAGTAATGATGGATCAAACCCGAGAATCACTGAATCTCCATCAGCCCACTTTTTATTTGGAGATCGGATTTCAAAATAAGGAGTTAATTAGGGTGTAATTGTGTGTAATTTTGATGTTTAAATTCAGTTTTCTGGTATAATCAATAATAATAATAATAATGATAATAATAATAATAATAATAGTTGTTATAATTATTGCTAAAATACAGTAGAACATTATTGTTATTATTTTATTATAATTAAATATTAATTAATGGTCTAAAACATCTAGTTTTAAGAAGTTTAAGTTAATTAAGGTGATTTTCACTGATTTTTCTTTATTATTGTTTGTTTTTTTACTTTCACATTATACACAGTAATTTATTATTATTATTAATAATAATAAGTGTTATAACAAAAATACACATTATTATTTATTAACAGTCTAAAATTTAGTTTGATTAAGTTCATTTTTTTGCTTATTTTTCCTTATTGTTTTTTTTTACTTTCACATTATAAACAAAAATAATTTATTGTTATAAGTATTATTACTGTTGTTATTGTCATCAAGAACAAAACAACAACTGTAATAGTTTCCTTATTATTTTTGCTGTTTTTGCTGGGTTTTTTTAACATTATACAAAAGTAATATTCTGTCAGCACTTTAATTGTAACTACTCTTTTATTGATTTATTACATAAAAATTCCTATGTTTAATAGTTAGTTTTTTCAAAGCCTGACTATATAGATTCCTTTTTAGTGTCCCATTTGGTGTGTTAGCTTGTGTGATGAAATCTTTCTCTCCGGTTTTGTCCTCTTTCAGGTCGAACCCGTTCTACGAGCCCAAGTCCAGCAGTCCAGCTCAGTCCACTACAGAGGGCAGCACTGAAAAAAACATGAAACGCCGAGCCCCTCTTCCCCCAGCCGTGACCTCAGTGACCCCCTCCAGCCCCTCAGTGACCCCTAAACCAGCCGTCTCTGACAAGACCCCCAGTGGCCCCGCGGCCTTCCCTGCGCTAGTTGGCAGGGAGCTGGTGTCTTCATCACCCAAGGTACAGAGTCTTCCTCACTTCGCTAAAACTAAGAACAGTCAAGTTTTGGAGCAAAATCCATACACACACACTTAAAGATGGTTCTCTAAGGGTTCTTTACTGAAGGCAATGGTTCTATTTGGATGAATTCTGTATGAAACTATTTCATGCTTGAATGTTTTTTGGCATGGTGACATGGTGAGAATGTGCTGTATATGGTTCTATATAACACCAAAAAGGGTTCTTCTGTTACAAGCTTGACATCATAACAATAGCAGAATGCTTTTTGCTTCTGTATAGAACCATTTTCTAAAAAGCTCTATGTAGAACCATATACAACACATTCTCCATCAATCTATGTTCTCAACGATTTCACCATGCCAAAAAACATTCAAGCATTCAGATGGTTCTTTGAGTGTTCATGGTTCTATATAGAACCATTGTCTTTACTAAAGAACCCAGGAAGAACCATATTTTTAATTGTGTAGAACCATTTGCATGCTTAAATGGTTCCTTGCATGGTTCAGACTGATAGAGAATGTGTTTTATATGGTTCTTTATAGCACCAAAAAGAGTTCTGCTGTTGTAACAATGTCAAGCTTGTAACAATAAAAGAACCCTTTTTGGTTCTATCCAGAACAATTTTCAAATACACAACACGTTCTCCATCAATCTGAAGAACGATTTCAGCATGCCAATGGTTTTATATGGAATTCATGGTTCCCATTGTCTTCACCAAAGAACCCTTAAAGAACCATCTTTTTAAGTGTGTAGGCATCAATTATTGCATTTGCTGCAAGTTTCATTTTAAACATACGGCTTTGGACCAAAAGTTGTTTAAGATTGTGAACAACGTCTAGTCAGTCAGGCGGGGTTGATCTTTTGACCGGTGTTATGTCTGTAGCAGTGCTGTCCACTCAGATTCACAGACTGGACCGTGTTCTAACCAAACTCCAACAAACCTGATTTACATCCGCAGCCAATAGGCCCTTTTCAAAAGAAACTGATGTGCGTAAACGCTGGTTAAAGCAAGTTCCGCTATTGCCTTTCGGACAGTTACTAACTTCAGACATGCAGGCGTTCTTATCACTTCAGCTCACCCCAGAAAGGTTGCCAAGATTGAAAAACAAGGTTGTGTCCAGAACTGTTAGAGAACCAAACACACAACAATGTGGGGGTCCAAACTAATAAAAAGGACTTTAAATAAATTCTCCATGGAGAAATTCCTTCACAGCTGTGAGAGTACAGTACCGTCAGCTAACGTCTATAGAGTGATAAATCGATGGAGGTGAAAACAACTATAACCAAAACACTAGATTAGCTGTGTTAGCTGGAGATGTAGAAACAGCTCGCTAACAATAAACTAGTTGGTAAAAAGCTGAACATGCACACATGCCAGCAGGGGGGCGTGCCAGGTCATCAGGGAATGCAGCGCCACCGTAGACATTTAATGCGAACACCGGCTCCAGTGAACGAACATGTACTCCCTGCTGAGCACTCGCTCTCTCAGATACTGACAGCTTTCAAGGGAGAAAATGAAAACTGTTCCTCTGAAAGCGGCTGTAGCAGCAACTTTAAAGTGCAAACCGCACGATAATGTTGGTCAGCAGCGCTGAAATGCAGACACACAGATTCTTTATCTCCATATGACAAAGTTTATTCCTTTATTAACTGCACAAACCAATTTTTCCTCTGCTCATGGTCAGCTGACAAACCACTGAAACCGAGATGAGGCTGTTTTTGCTTCAAGCTTGAACACTTGAGTGAGCTGTACTCGCTCTACTCATCATCATTGTTACTGTTACTGCTTTAGCAGAAGCATTACTGTTACCCTGCAGCGAGAACTTCCAGCATGAGGAAATGTGAAAAAGGCCTATTAGCAGACTCTCTTTTTTTTAGCTCATGCCAGCCTTACACCAAATGACTTTACAAGCGATTTCACTGTCACAAGACAAATTTCCAACGTCGGAATAAAATCATGAGAGTCTTGCTGGAGATGCATTGCGTCATCTTGTTTGTGTCGCAGTCATCCTGACCACCTCACACTGAGCAATCAACCATGTTTAATATTGTTGATAGTTTTAAATCTTGGATCTTGCAAATAGTGATGCGCCAGGGGCGCACGAGACAGCGAGTGAGTGCATGCGCACGGCGCGACAGACAGAGAGAGAGAGTGAGGGAGAGAGTGAGAGTGCAAGAGAGAAAATGCATGCATGAGAGCCTGAAATCTCTGTTAAAAAGGCAAATCTGCTCCACTTTAAAACAATAATCATATTAACTTAAATATGTAACCTGTTTTAATATTTCAAGTTCACTGAGTGTGACAGTGATGTAAGGAAATGTGCAGAGGACTTTAAAAAAGGCGTCACTGAGGAAGCATTAATGGTTTTTTTTCCATTTTTTGGCTCTCTGTTAGTGGATTCTTATTTAGTTTGGTTGTTTTTTATGGTTTAGTTTATACCACCCAATCAACAATGCTGAATCGCTGCGTGTTTTGTTGATGTGGAAATATTTGTATTAAATAAAAAGTAACTTGTGATGATCTGCCAGAATATACAGCTTTACATTGAACTGGCCTGAGCCCCAGATCTTTACACTCCCAGTCAGCGAGTCTTCCCATCTGTACCACTATAGAGTGGAGAAGGAAAAAGGTTTCTCTGCATGTAAATTTCCATCAGGTGCATGATGGGAAATAACCTCAAAAATCTAGTTGTAGTCTTGCAAACAGTGACCCTGCAAGATCCTCAGTCTTTGCAGAATCTCAGTCCGTGACTAAAACCTCTATGACGTTGTCTGTAGATGTGAGAGGGTGTCAGACTTTAATCTTTCAAAGCTCTTTTCATAGCGTTCGGTTAGCAGTAGGATGTTTTTTGTTTATTTGTTTTGTTTATTGTTTATTTTAAATAGCAGTGATACGGTTGAGAAAAAGTTTTCTCTTTACGTCCGTCACATCTTTCTCCTTTTTTCTTGTTTTGCACTGTTTTATATTCTCTCTTTGCCCCATCTGCCCCCCCTTTTACTTTTTCTTCTTCTTCTCCTTTTTCTATCACATCGCTCTTCTGTTTTTTTTACTATTTCTTCTTTTTTGTTTTGCACTGTTTTATTCCCTCTCTCCTTTCCCATCCACACTTCTCCTCCACTCTTGTTTTTTCTTCATTTCTGTAATATCACTCTTCTGTTCCTCCCTTTGTTCCTCTACATTTTTCCCAATTTCTCATTCTTTTGCACTATTTTATCCCTTCCATCTCCTTTTCCTTCTTTCTCTCTCGTTTTCTGTTTCTCGTTTCTTCCTCCACATCTTTGTTTTTTCTTTAAGCTGTTTTATTCCCTCTCTCTTTTCCCAATCCCCTTTCTCCTCTGTTCTTTTTTTGCGTATTATTATTCTCTCTTTCATATCTTTTTCAATTTTCCGTCTTTAACACTTTTTTTTTCATTTGTCCGGGTTTCTCTCTCTTATTGCATCCAAGTTTTTCTCTTATTCTTCTTTTCCTTTACTGTCACTCATTTGCCTTTCTTTTTCACTTCTTCTTTCACGCATTTCAGCTTTTCCTCCTTTTGCCCTCCACATTTCTCCTCTACTCCTCCTCCTCCTCCTCCTTCTTTTTCTTCTTCTTCATCTTCTTCTTCTTTCACTTCATTCTTCTTCTTCTCCTACATCGTTCTCCATTTCCTTCTTTACTCGATTTAATTCCTTCTCCATCCACCTTTCCCCCCCACTCTTTTTTTTCTTTCGTCCGGTGCATCTCTCACTCCGCTGCTCTTATCTTCCCCACCTCTCTCCTCCCCTCCCCTCCTTTTTTCCATCGCTCCGTTCTGCCGTTCTGCGTCCCTCGTTTCTGTATGTGTGCACTGACGCTCTCTACATTTGAATATAGGCACAGCGTCGGGGCTCTTTATGCATGCGTTATGACTCTGAGGCTGAATGCTTTGGTGGCTGTAATTAAGCGGCTGAGGGTGTGTGTGAGGGTGTGTAGATGGTGTGTATGGGTGTGTGTGTGGGTGTGTGCGCCTGTGTAAAGGGTGTGTAAGGGGGCAAGACTGTAAATGAGAAGAAGCGGGCCGCTGCAGCTTAACTATGGGCAGCTACCCACAGAGTGTGAGTGGGTGTTTATTTACATGCCCTACCCGTGAGTGTGTGTGTGTGTGTGTTAATGTGGCCCATATTTAATTACGCCACACGGTTTATCAGAGAGGACCACTTGTGTGGGTGTGTGTGTCCGCGACGGAGGCGCCCTGGCCCAAACTTACACACATTTAATTACCCAAATGCACTGACCTGTGAGTGGTAAACACACACACACACAGACACATACTCAGCACTAGTGATGCTCTGTAATTCTTAGCTGAAGCCAAAATTCAGGACCCACTGGGCCCAAAACCAAAACTGGAGAACACTGTCAAATAAGAATAGTTTGCATAAAATAAACTCACTAAAATGATTGTAACAGTACATGTAACTACAACATATGCCACAAAATCCAACATCCTCCAAAACAGGATGACCACCTGGTCATAATTAATTCGTTTGGCTGAAAAACAAAAGTACTATTTTTAACCATTTTTGGAAAATTTAACTTAAAATGTGGTTTACTTAGCAAGTTAGTTATGCTTCACTGGTTATAGTTCCATGCACTAACATAACTTAAAGTGATGAAGCTAAAACTAAAGCTTGTTCTTATTATTAAGTGTAGGCTTACCCTTAAACCTTATTCTAACTTTAAGTATAGGCTTATTCTAACCTTATGTGTAAGCCTGCTCTTACAGCTAATTCTGATCATTACTACGTATAATATTACTCCTAAAGCTAATTGTACGAGTTCCTATAAGTATAATATTACTCCTAAAGCTAATTGTACGAGTTCCTATAAGTATAATATTACTCCTAAAGCTAATTGTAAGAGTTCCTGTAAGTATATTATTACTCCTAAAGTTAATTTTAACAGTAACTGTAAATATAAGTCTACTTCTAAACCTAATTCTAACCCTAACTGTAGCTGAACACTTATGTAAATATACTCAGA